GTCGTTCCTTCGAACTATTAGACTCGCCGTTGGCCCTGATTTCATAAGTTTAGAAATTAAGTATTCATGTATATTGAATAGTTTGTACTAATGGGAATTTTACTTACCATACGAATTTAAGATGATTCATGCTAAATATTTCCTCAAACATCAAATGACAATATCTGTGGACAAAAGTGTCCTCGTCCATAACATTTTTAATGTTGTCCGATGGTAAGTTTAAGAAACTGCAGAGAAGCTATATCATTAATATAATACAAAAACACAACAAAAAATAGTATAAATTCGTTGGATTTAAAACCTACAAATTTCTTGTCACGAGTTGAACACAATCAAACATACTCTTTTCTTCTTTGGTCATCGATGGATCCCATTTGGACCAATTTTGATGCCATTTTATGTCCAATTCCTCTTTATTAGTTAAAAGCTAAATGGAGATATGAATAAATTATTGATTATTGATTATTTATTATAATATTCCAGGATGGTTAGTAAAAGACCTACCATACTATATTCCATGATGTTCATTTGAGCACTTATTGGCAAAGATGCTGGGGTTAAAGGTTTAGGTAACGCAGTTTTCCAGACTTGATCGGAACATTTTATATACTTTGGTTTATCCTCCTTTACATAGATAATTGATGAAAGACACCTGCAATAATGTACAGAGTTAAATATGAAGAAATCGATCAACTTTGCATGTCAAGATACTTACAAGATTTTGTCAACATCGGTCGCGTAGGAAAATGTTAGATCGTTCTTTAATTGATCAACCACTTGTATTTGAAATTCCCGAAAATCTCTAGAAATATTATAGCCGTTTGCCAACCACTATAGGTAAAACATAATTATTAATGAACATTTACTATACATGATGAAGCTATTATATTTCATTACTTACATCGTGATCTGAATTATTAGAAATTTTTATCTTATCAGCAACATGTCCCCACGAAAGTATCGTCCTTGACTGCATAAATATTAATTCATGAGTTTGTCTAATTGTAGTCAATTACTTGAAAAACTATTTACCTTTTCCGATTTCTCTGTAGTATTTTCTTGGACGGATGATTCGGATTCATCGTTAGCTGTTTGCCCAGCATCCACGATCGCATCTTCTGTTCCGCTCACATCCTCGGGGTTGAAATCAGTGGATGTTCGTTGTACATTCATAGAGGGAACACTGGTTGATTGGCCAGCATCAACGATAATGTTATTTGATTTATTTCTCTTAGCGCCCTTGGTTGAGTTTTTGCTTCCAGTATCTTCTTCCATTAATTTATGCTTTCTGGTCTTCGTTTTAATGTTTTTAACAACATCAGGAGCACTTTGGAAAAAAACATCTATCTCATCCTGCAACAATACAAAGTTGAATCGCAATACAGATTAGAACGAGCTTATGCACATCATATAACAAACAAAACGAAAAAAACATTACTGGAGAGGCCTCAGTTGATGCTTCCTCAACTTCGGTTGATTCTTCGTTGTAATCGTTTAAAGGATTATCCTCGCTTTTATAAGGTGGAGGGGGAGAGAGATCGCGAAGATTGGGAGATGACATT